AATGTTTCAAGGCAGTGTCGTCTCCAGTTACTGGTTTTATAGATTCACTTCCCCTCTGCTAAGAGCAGAGCAATTTAGGAGCCAATTAGTAACCCAGGAGACTAATTGGCAGTAGCAGTCAGAGCCTGACAAGTACAATGATGGGCACATCCATTAGGCCACCCAACAGCGTGACCTGAGGGGCTAGCAAAGGTGCTTCCGTGTCCAGTGATAAAGCATATTTCTTTTCTTTTTTTTAAACAGACACCACTTTGTGCTCCCATATTCCTCATGGTTGAAATCCAGAAGATATTCACAGTTATCTAAGGGCATGCAGTAGTCTCCATGGATAATCCCAAACTCCCAGGCTCTAGACTTTGAATGCCTGGTCCAAGGGTCACCAGGAGAGTCGTTTCACTTGCCCTGATGGCAGGACTAACATGTAATGGTGTGTAAACCCCGTCCTTGTCTGTCAAACGTATCCCCCCCACTACCCCAGCACACACACCCCTACGTTTATCCAGTGTTAACAGCTGAACGGATTACTGGTCACCAATCTTATTTCCCACTTCTTTGTCAAAGCAACGCACCCTCAGTCATGCTGAGAGCACTTGGGAATTCACCAGCCAGGCTCACGGGGGGGTCTTGAGTTCAATTCCTCACACCTGCCTCCATAGAACTGTATGAATGACTTAGGCATGGCTACTTGTTCGAGGTCCTCTTCTCTGGCCAGTAAAATCTGCAGAGGCTAGCTAGTAAGAACATGATAGAAATGGGCCAGGTGCTAAGAAGCTGTGGAAGAATTCCTGTATCGTAAGATCTTTTATTTTATTTTATTTATTTATTTATTTTTGCTGTACGCAGGCCTCTCACCGCCGTGGCCTCTCCCGCTGCGTAGCACAGGCTCCGGACGCGCAGGCTCAGCGGCCATGGCTCACGGGCCCAGCCACTCTGCGGCATGTGGGATTCCTCCCGGACCGGGGCACGAACCCACGTCCGCCGCATCGGCAGGCGGACTCTCAACCACTGCGCCACCAGGGAAGCCCCATCATAAGATCTTTTTAAGAGAAGACCACATTCCAGTTTCACAATTCTTCTTTCTCACCATTCTTGACATTTCCTATTTGTTACAAACTGAACCACCAATTATCTGACCAGCTGGCAAGCACTCACGTCTCCCAGAGAATTCCTGGAACTAAGTGAATTTGATAACTTCATCTAGATTTACAGAGTCTGGGAAATGAGACTTTACAATTCAACGCTGCAAGTCTAAACAAGTAAAAAAGTCAACATACAATGGATGCCTTTATGGAATGATGTTCAACTCAGCACTTCACGGAACACGCCGAGGAGAGGTAGAGTTACCCCCTGAATCAGGTCCTTTACTGAGTCAGCAGAGATTTTTGTGACCACACTGAGCATATCTTGGTAATGATAAGAGGCTGGAAATAGACGCTTGGAATCTAGTTAATATATAAGCCTGGTCGCAAGTCTTAAAATTTTCCTTAAAATTTATTATTTTGTACAAATCTTTGATGCAAAAATGACTTTTCAATGGGACCCAAATTTTTATATAGGGAGAAGTTAGAGTTTGAACAATATTATATAGTTCCTAAAATTCATCCGTAAAATAGATGCCTTTAATGCATTATATGAATTGTCCTGTGAACACTGGCTATCTTCAGGGGTATAAGGAAAGCCAGCATGTAGAATTACTAGAAAGTATTTATAAGGGTTGAAATGCAGTCACTAGATGACAATTTCATGGGTAAACGGACACGGCATTAACTTCCCAATGTATACCAGGCAGCTATGGCCTAAAATGTTCCTAGATAGGCTTCACAATGCCAAAGTTCAGGGACACTGTTTCCCTTTCTTTTAGGGGTCGGTGTAGAAATGTCTGGGTTTAATCAATGCACCCAGGGCTGAATTCCGCTTCAGAGAAAGCATCTCAGAGAAGGGAAGCAGGAAGAGTTTTACCCACATTCTTTAAGAAAAATTATCCCCTCTTTCTTTCCAACAGTGGATTCACTCAGTCCACAGCATCGTTTCTTTACACTTGCCTCCAATGAATTTTTTGAACTTCACATTAAAAGCAATTTTGCTCAAAATTCACACCACAGGATATAAAATGGATGGTAGCAATGGTTGCACAACCCTGTGAATGTACTTAATACCACTGAATTGTACTTAAAAATGGCTAAAATGGTAAATCTTTTGTTGTGTTCATTTTACCAAAATTTAAAAATGCAGAAAAAAAGACCAAAAAAAAAAAAACAGTAACTGAGGATGGCGTTCACATCTACATACAAATGACTGAAGGGAGTTACTCACAATAGAATCTGTTTAAACTATTTTTAAGAACAAGAAAATCAAGAATCCACCTCCTTTACATTAGATCTTCGAGAAACACTGAGGGGTAGGACCCAGCTCAAGTTGAGCGTCTGTGAAGAGCCGTATCACACGGGGAGAATGAGTGATATCCGTGTGTGCGCTAAAGGGCTGTTAATATTTCTCAGCACAAAAGGTTCTTTTACGTGTCTGGCGAAGAAAAACGCATGATATGAACATCGTTGGAAGTAACCACAAATTACGCACCTGGGGCAGGCTTTGCACGAGACAGATGATGGGGTTCAACAGCTACAAAGCCACCAGCCCTTTGTTGCTAAAACAAACCTATAAATGAGTCAATAAAGTCTGGATGTGGGGAAAGGTGGCAACACCGTAGACTAGGCTGGCAGAACACAAAGAGGAGACACTCAGGAAAATTCATCTGTAAACGTACTTTCTCAAAGAGTAACTTACTTTAAGATACACACACACACACACACACACACACACACTTACGGCTGCACAAATTATCATACACGAGGAAGGAAAAACAAATCACTTAGGCTTCATCTGAAAACCTGTATC